ATATATATATAAACTAGTATGATATAATCAACATATATTTTAGAAGCTTTGACATACATAATAATTGAATAAATTCTTAAGTTATTTATTCTTAAATTTTAATTATTTGGTATTTTTTTATTTTCATTGAACATAATAAACTAAATAAATGCTTAATTATTTATAATGCTTAATTATTTATAATTTTGTGATGATATTAGATAAAAAATAACAAAAGCTCACAAAAAAATATCATTGTTTTACATCGAAATAGAAGAAAAGGTAATTGTAAATCTTTATAAATATAAAAGAAGATAAATTTTTTTAAATAATTATCTTGATCTCTATATTTAATATATTATTATATTTTTTTATTATTAAAAAAATAATATTGTTATTAAATATAAGATTTAAACTACAAATCTTGAAATTTAAAGATAAATTGTAATATCAATTAAATTAATATATATTTTTTATTATTTAATTTAATTTTGATTTTATTTTTAATAAAATCATGAAGTACCTAGATTCAACTAGTTGCTATAAGTAATGTAATAAAAAATGATTAAAAGTAGTTTGAATTCCCTTAAAATATACAAATAATGTAATTTTTTTTATATCATCATTTAATTACATATGACTATATATAATAAATATATTAATTTTATAATAAAATTCTTAAAAAAATCATATTAATGATTCTTTTTGTTTAGTTAGATGAATCCTCTAATATTATTTATATCTATTTTTTAAATAAAAAAGAAAAAAAAATGTAAGAAATTAATGTAATTTTGGCGTATATATCGTCGTCTTCGTTGCAATAAAAGCAAATCAAATCGAAAACATTTCTCCTAATGAACAAGATGGGAAACAAATTAGAAAATTAAGACAAATTATAGATTCATTAAAACTCATTTTCACTAGATTGAATCATCCATCCATCCATCCATCGATCGATCGAATAAGAAGAAGAAAAAGAGTGCAATAATAAAAGCCCAAAATGGACGTCCAATTTCTCACAAGCCCTCTCCTCTGTGCGTCGTCGTCTTCATGCCCCAAAGCCCACATCGCCACTCTACCAGAGGTCGCATAGTCCCTCTTTTCTCTCTCTCTCTCTCTCTCACCAAAACCACCCTTTTCATTCTTCAAATTCTAGAGAGAGAAAGCGCAACCCCAATTGCTCCACCCACACACACACTCAAGGAACCAACCCTTCTTCCATGCCTCGCATTCGTTGCCGCACATGTTAGGTTTTAGGGCAAATTCGCTATCGTTCCAAGGGACCCCCTTTTCCAAAACCCTAGGAGAGAGGAATTTCGACTCCGGACGCCTTTGAATTGTGCCCTAGGTTACCATTTGCGCGTTCAGGTGCTTTTTCTGCCCTTAATTGTTGTTTTATTGGCATTCCCTGGAAACCCTAGAGTTTTGCGAATTGGGGAAATTGCGTGGAAATGGGTGCGGTTAGGGTTTTGAATGTTTGGGGGGGAATTGTGCTGCGTTGTTTCTTGTTGCGGCCGGGGTGTGCATTGTGTTGAAATGGAATGAGTGGCTTTGAGTTTGTGCATGGAGTTTGTGTCTGTTAATGGGGTGCTGCATTGTTTGGTGTGTTACTAAATGTGGGAGTTTTTGTCTTGAACACTAACCGGGAAGCAAAATAGAATGGTGGTATTTAAGTGGGGAGCTAGTAATTTGAAGTGTAAACATGTGGTTGCTGATGGTAGTTTGAAAATTTGAAGGGAATCATTGGCGGCAACCTTTTCATGCATGTAATGGTTGCCAAATATAATTGTTGATAACTTTACTATTAACTATCACGTTTTTTAAGCTTGTTGCTATTAGTTTAGTTGGCATCTTTCTAAATTGATGTGGGTGTGCTGTTAATGTGCCACTTCTGTCTGGTCAAGGACTACTTCGTGTACAAACATTTTAAACTTGGAGAGGGGGCAGGGGTGGCGTTCGCTTTCAACTTGGACATTTGGCTTTTCCTCTTAACTGTTGAGTTGTATTCATGTTTTGTATCTTTTAAACAGTTTATATAATCTGGTGACTTATGGAAGGATAACCATGATTTCTAATTTCATTATGTTGCAGAAATTTACTAGCATGTATCTCAAAGAGTTTTGGGGGATTTGATTATAAGGTGAAGCTTTTGCTTGGTAAATGGTTTAGAACTATTTTTTTAAAATTGTATTACATCTTTTGAAAGTAATATTTACCTGTGACTTATGTGGAATGATTATCACTTATCAGTTTTCCACTCAGTAGAAGCTGACATCCTTTGCAATGCTGAAGATGTCTGAATCTCAATTGTAATTGAAATAAAAAAAATCCATTTGATTGATAATGTACATGGGGAATTATTATACAGGACCTAAAACTTTTAGCTCATGCTAGCTGTTCATTACAATAACAAATGGTTTTATATTTAATGATAGATTCCCTATCATTTGATGAATGTGCTTGATTGATACCAAATTTATATATGCATGTATGTGTGTATATATATATATTTTATATTTACACATATATATAATATTATATATATAATTGTATAATTATATAATATAATATATAATAATAAGTAACGCTCGAAAGATTTTAAATGGTAATGCAGTGCATGTTACTTATCTATGAAATGTTCATCATATCATTTTCCACTTGCACTTTTTGTTCTTGTTTAGGTATATATTATTAATTATTTAATAAATAAAACAAGGAAAGTACTGAGTTTGAGTGAGAGGTTATTTATATATTACCTGGAAATATAAGCATGATTCCTGATATATACAATTTCATAACCTACCTATGTTTCCTACACTTGTTTCCTTTTTATATTTAATCAGTATGTACCATTGCAACCCATGTTTGCAAGGATGGAATGTAGACATCCTGGATTGAGAAGGTTAACTGTTTTTAGAAAACTGTATATGATCTCAACCATCCAAATTAATTTATAATCAGAATTAATCTAAAACTTAATTGGAAAAGAGAACTTGATCGTCTAAATACAAACTGCATGACAGGCAATATTTGGAATTTAGGAGATCCGAATTCTGGACATCCTGGTTTAACAGGCTTGCATAGAACTGAGTCACATTTTCAATTTCAGGGAACATTTTTGCTTCAGTGAAGTGAATCAAGTTTTGCTGAAAAGTAGTTCACCTATTTCAACTTATTATTTTGAACTAAATTTCTACGAACACATAAAGTTACTATCTGTGCATTAAATATTATGTAGTTCTTATTTTTTCTATTGTTTGCTCAGTTAGGAAGTTTCTATGCCTTAATAGTTTGCTTTGTACCTGGATTAACATCCTAACTTGCCCTCATTTCTTTACAAAATTAGCAGATTCTTTATTAAATGGAAAGTTACACTCTTAGATATTAAGAGTGGGATGCATGGATGTAATTCAGGATCTGCTCTCCTTGTAAATGCTGAGGTTGATTCCATGGGAGGTGTTGTTGATGGCGGAGGTGGTATAGGTTTGAAAACCTCTCCGCGCCGAGCAGCAATTGAGAAGGCTCAAAAAGAGCTCAGGTGAAGGGACAACTGTTTGTGCACTTCCATTATTTGTTTGATCACGTTTTTTGAGTACCAATGTAATTTTTTATATGAAGAATAACTCACGCATGTTGATACAGACTGGAGTATGATGTTCGTGAAGAAAGAAGAAGGGAACTAGAATTTCTTGAAAAAGTATGAAAGTATTGTTCTTTTACAATCTTCTATTAAATAATTTTTCAATGTAAATAAATGATGACCAGCTCAGCTGTGCTTTTTAATTGCAGGGAGGGAATCCTCTGGACTTTAAGTTAGGGAATGCTGCTTCTGTTAGTGTTCAGTCTACTTCACTCACTGATCAGCATCAAGAGCAGTTTGTGACCAGGTTAGATATTATTTTTCTTTTTTTTATTCCTTTGTTTTATCACCAGTATAGTATGTGTTACTTGTTTATGAATATCTACTGTGTATTAATTTTTTTAATGCCCTATCACTTCTTTCACTTGTCTTCTTTTCTAATATGATTCAGTGAAGCAAAAGGTAGTTTTGTATTGACTGCCTCCCCTCATGGTGACTCTGTCGACAGTAGTGCTAGACCAGGGGTCCCTTCTCTTAGTGAACCAAATACTGCTGATAACCTCTTGCTTTTTGATGGTGAGAATGAGCTGCCTGAAGGTGAAAAGAGGTCTCTACATTCAAATAAAAGGAATAATATTGCTCCTTCAGAACAGTCTTCTCGAATTGGTGGGAGTCAAAATGCAAAGGAGACAGAAGATTCTGCTATTTTCCGGCCATATGCTCGAAGGAATAGGTCCAAGTCAAATCATGGCCCTCGTGGGGCTTCAAGGGATGGGAAGGGAATAATATCTGATACAAACAAACAAAAGGACCACAATGTGCCTTCTGTTTCTAAGCCAAAGCCTACAAGTTTAAATGGTGAGATGCTCTCTAAAGATCCAACATCTAATAATAACCCACTGGATAATGAATTGGTTGTTGTCGAAGCTCGTCAAACAGCTAGTGGCAGTGCTAGTGTTCCCAAAGACAAATTGGATGTTACCACGAATAGAAACTTCAAAGAAGATCTACGAATTATGCCTTCTCAAGATGATGCTATACAGACTCCAGTTGTCTTGGTTTCTGGGGAAGCTAAATCAGTTGGAGAAATGGACCTAGGAGCTTCAGGTGATCTTGAGCCTCCACCATGTGCTGCTACTACACAACCTGGGAATGAATCTTGTTCTGGTCAGCCAAATGGGTTTGGCAACATAAAAGTAGACAGGAGAGGTGTACCAATTGGAGACCAAAATTGCAGTGCTGCATTAGGCATCAAGAATTTTGATTCAGAGTCCTCCTGCCCACAAACTAGTTTAGCTAGAGATGTAAATAATAACAGTAATGATAATAATATGTGTAGTAATGCAAAGAATATTGATGAAAATGGAAATACTATGGAACAAACATCGGAATTTGAGAAGTTGAATTTAACTAGCTGTGGGGTTGTAAAGGAAAGGAATAAGACCAATACTGGTGCTACTACTAACAATGAACATCATGCTGGTTACAAAAGCCATCCTGGTGGTGGTAATATGATCAAAAGTGAGGAAGACATCCATATTGATAGTTCTTGCATGCAAAACAAGGCAGAAGATTCTTCCAATGTTAAAGGACTGCATCATAGTGAAAGTTCCATATCAAATGCTGATAGAGAGGGAAGTGTTGTCTTGATGGATCATCCCAATCGTATCAGGGAAGACAGCTGTGAAAGACGTAAAGATGTGTCAATTTCAACAACTCAAACTGCTCTGGTTGAAAAGGTTACTACTACCACCTCTAACTGTCAACCGAGTTCTACACACAGCTTGAAGTTAGCAGACAAGGCTCATGAAGATTCTATTTTAGAAGAGGCAAAAATTATAGAGGTTTAAATTTTTGTTTCTATTAATTCTATTGATTATTGTTCTTGTAAAATTTGTGGGGTTGTCAGTAAACTATAAACATCTGACATGTTAACACAGGTCAAGCGGAAGAGGATTGCAGAGTTATCTGTTTGCACATTTCCCTCACAGATCCGCAGAAAGTCTCACTGGGGATTTGTCCTGGAGGAAATGGCATGGTTGGCAAATGATTTTGCTCAGGTTTTGTTTTCTAGACCTACTTGTGATTCTATGTTCTATTATTATTCTAAGGACTTGAAGCATACTATCCCTTATTATATTTAATTGATATTTGAATTTTAATACATCTTTTCTGATACATATTTTTTATCCCACCAAAATGTTTTTGTAGGAGCGTCTTTGGAAGATATCTGCTGCTGCACAATTGTCGCATCAGGCATCTTGTACTTCTCGGTTAAGATTTGAAAAACAAAACAAACATCTTGGGGTGAAAACTTTGTCTCACAACATGGCAAAGGCTGTCATGCAGTTTTGGCATTCAATTGAGCTCCTTCTTGACAATGATGTTCCTGATCATAAGTGCATTGATGGTTCAGTTGAATCTGGGAACATTGATTCAAATGTAGCTACTGGGGATAAGAGGAGCAATTCTGAGATGGTGCTTGTTATATTACTTTGTCCTTTTATTATTCTATTCTTAATTATGAAACAAAATATTCAATTGTTAACATTGTATTTTGCTTTTAGAAATGTACTTTGTGATCACATAAGCTTGAAAGAGCTACCTTTATGTCATGCTTTGTGAATCCTGAATCTAGTGCTTGCTTATAAAAATGTTATAGATGGTATGCTTGTGTTCTGGTTTACGTTGATTTGTTTTATGTATCATCTATTGTGTTCCAGATGGACTTTTTCATGCTTGATCTGAATAGGTATTCCTATTATTTGTCCAAAGACTGAAAAACTAAATTATACAATGCCATTTTTCCTCTTATTATTTACATAGCTGAATATTTTAATCTTATTTGAAAATGTAGTTTAAGAATTGTTCATTATACCTACTTTTTGGTATATTGGTTTTTATTGTTGTATTTCTTGCTTTTCAGTTTGGTCATTGTTGTCATCCTTGCTGATGCATGTTTGTTTGCGTTGGCTCTTTGCTTTTTATAATATTTAGATGCATGAGTGATTCATTACTATTGCATGATTTGAATGTTCATGTTATGATTATGATCTGGGTGTTTTGAGATGCTTCTAAGTTTTCTCCATTTTTCTGCAGTTTTAGCTTTCTATGCTAATTGTTTTACATAATCTTAGCTATTTTTTACTGATGCTTGAAAGTTGGTGGTTTTGGTCAGGAATTGGAAACAATCAAATACTTGGATGGGCAAAATCAGACAAAACATGTGGCACATAAGGTGCATACATATGCATTGAGATTTTTAAAGGATAATAGATCATGTGGAATTTCAAGTCAAGCAGAAGCACCAACAACACCAGATAAAATATGTGACTCGGGTATTGCTGATATGTCATGGGATGATCGTCTTACAGAAGTATGGACCAAGTTACCTTATCCTCATTTGATTAGCTTAATAGTTTTGTACATTAGTGACTTGTCTCTTGTTTGTTTTCACTGTTAGACAACTCAAAATCTTGTTTTTCAAATGTGGCTGTTTCAATATGATTTAACAGATAGTTTTGTGGTTTATTTTTTCTTTTTGCTATAATAAGCATTTTTTTTACCAGATATGTCTTTTACATGCTGTATATTGCCATGCGTTGCACTGTAAAATTCAATCAAATATAACCAGTAACATAAAATATGTTAAATTATATATTTCTAAATTTACTAGTGAAGATATTATTATAAAAGAAATCCAATGTAACATAAGATAAGAAAATATTTATAATTAGAAAGTTATTTATCTACTAGCTGAAAAAAGGCACTTTTCCCCTGCATTAAAAGAAGAGAAAGTAATAAATTTTTTCTTGTATTAGTTTGTGTTAATGAATAGTTTTTTATTTTTATTTTTTATTTTTTTATTTTTTATTTTTTTTATTTTTTTATAGTCATGTGAGGTTATCTGAGTGTATGTGTAGTTATTAAGAGTAATATAGGTAAGAAAAATATGGAGACCAAATGGGATTATCCTCTTTATCTTGGTATATTTATTTATATTAGTATATTTATTTTAGTATAGAAGTATAGTCTATTTCTTATAAATTTAAGATAAAATGAGTATTAGTTATTATTACACCATCCATAATTTTTTCTTTTAGAATTATTGATTACTTTGGAGTGAATTTTTCATAATGATTAAACATGGAATATAGATGATTTTGTGGCTTACTTTTACTATTAGTTTGTCACAATAAGCAAATTGTTTTAGCATAGTCACGTCTTTTACATGTTGTATCATAATTTCCAGGAAAGCCTTTTCTATACAGTACCTCCTACCGCTATGGAAGCATACAGAAAGTCTATTGAATCTCATTTTCTACAGTTTGAGGTAGATATCTGCTTGAATTTTACTACCTTAAATTCTTGGATGGTTTAATGCTTTATGACTGCCACTGAAGTTTTATTAGTTTGAAGATATTTTCGGGTCAGCCTTGTTCTTTTATGTCTTAAGTCTTATTTCTACTTTTGATGATACTATTTCCCCCCAGAAAACTGGAAGTAGCATTCAAGAGGAAGTTGAAACATCTATATATGATGCTGCAGCAGGTACTATTGGGAATATTTAGATTATTTGATTTATATGTGCATTGTCAATCAGTCTGGAATCAATCACAATTTCTTTTCCTTTGTAAATTTATATGTAGAGTTTGGACATGAAGAGATTGCATATGATGAGGATGAAGGAGAAACTAGCACTTATTATATGCATGGTGTCTATGAGGGTAGCAGATCATCAAAATCATTACAGAAGAAACACAAAAACAAGATAAAGTCTTGCACTCATAAGTCCAGTGAAATTGGAATTGATTTGCCTTATGGACACTATTCAACTGCAGCTCAGCCATCTGTGCTATTCGGAAAAAGGCCTGCTAGTTTAAATGTAGGAACAATACCAACCAAACGTGTGCGTACAGCTTCCAGGCAGAGAGTTGTGAGTCCTTTTGCTGGGGTCTCTGGGACAGTACATGCTCAAGCTAAGACAGATGCTTCAAGCGGAGATACCAATTCCTTTCAGGATGACCAGAGTACTTTACATGGATCACAGATCCACAAAAGTGTGGAGGTGGAGTCAATTGGAGATTTTGAAAAGCAATTACCTTATGACTGTGGAGAAACATCAGTTAAAACAAAGAAGAAGAAGCCCAAGAATCTGGTAATCAAAATTTGTTTTCAAGTAACCAAGTCTGCAGACTTTGAGACTTGTTTTTTTTTGTAATATTTTTAAATAATATGTATTTGACTATTTGTGCTGTGGTTGCTTAACAATTATGTGTACAGGGTCCAGCATATGATCAGGGATGGCAACTGGATTCTGTTGTTCTGAATGAACAGGTAATTCTTTTTAAATAAAATATGCTTGTCACATGATATTAATCTTTCTACTTGGTCATGGTGAAACTGAGCTTTAGTTTCTGCTTGTGTAATTTGGCATAAATATGATGTATTTAGAAACATGTTATTACATTAATGTGAAGTACTTTCATAGCATCCATTATGTTTGGTGTAGCAGTTGCTCAATTATATGCCATTCGTAGTTGTTCACAACTACAATGCTTTTCTCATGGTATTTTAATGTATTTACAATGCAGAGGGATCATTCCAAGAAGAGATTGGATAGTCATCACTTTGAACCTAATGGAAGTAGTGGTAACCACCTTATCTGATAAAATATTTAGATTTTTTTTTTCTGTTTGTCGGTATTAATTTTTGTCATGGTTGATGTATTAAACTGTCTTGTTTTGAAGGTTTGTATGGGCATAGTGCGAAGAAGCTAAAGACGACAAAGCAATCCCTTGATACTTTTGACAATGTTGCTCCAATGACCAATTCTATTCCCTCACCTGCTGCTTCGCAAATGAGTAACATGTCCAATCCTAGTAAATTCATTAGAATCATTAGTAGTGGACGAGATAGGGGTAGGAAAGCCAAAGCACTTAAGGTAATTTTGTTGGGAACTCAGATGGTTGTGTGGTGGCAAAATGCCTGTTATCACCCAACTGATATATTTATTTGCTTTTTTTTTTATTTGTTGATTCTTATAGGTTTCTGCGGGACAGCCAGGTTCTGGAAGTCCATGGTCACTATTTGAAGATCAGGTTGTTTGTTGTTCATTAGCTACTTTGGCTTAACTCTTATGTCCTCTTTTGGAATAAATATTTCAACTTCATGACATGCATAAATTGGTTTTCTTATCCAATGTTGCAGGCTCTTGTTGTCCTGGTCCATGATATGGGTCCAAACTGGGAGCTTGTTAGTGATGCTATCAACAGTACTATACAATTTAAGGTAATGATATGCGGATAAATATGTGGCATATTACTGTTGAGGTATGAAATATCTTTCTTGGAGTGGGAAACTTCAATTACCAGAACTATTTTAGCCTTTGAAAATTAATTGGCACGCACGAGTCACACATAATAACAAGGAGAGTGAACCCAGGCAATAAAAGAAAAATGTGGGGGCAAACTGAACCCTAAAACATGTCCAAAGGTTGTTAGAGCATCTCCAATGGGGGTTGCTTATAAGCAACCCCCATTGCAGATGCTCTTAGACAAGTTCTACCTGTGGCTGGGAAAGATGTCAGAAAAGTTCTGACAGTCCCAGATTTTGTTGGTCACTGGAGAACTTCTAACAGTGACTCAAGAAGTTCTGATACCATGCGTAGAGAGAAACAGAGATTTTATTTTCCCTATTTGCTAAGTCATTGCACCACTCAGCTGAGTGATCTATTTAATAGCTACCACTATTTTCAAGAGACTAGTTAAATTATCACCACTCAGCTAAACACAATAATTAAGCTACTTAGAAGAGTAATAGTCATTAAATGCTCCTATTTCTAACAATGTGGATGGGGAGATTGTTTAAACAGAATCCCGGGTGTGAAAAACAATATAGAAGGTTGAACAGCAGGGATTTTGATGCAGGACTCCCCAATTTTAACATCATTGAAGAGGTTGAACTTGAACATAAAGGAAAATGAGACAACAGTTACAGTAGGAGGGTAGGTGTAGATTCATATAGATTTGTTAGCACTGGAAAACAGAGCAGTAGTTGTGAAAAGGGAAACCCTGGGAAGGAGAATTCTCTCCTTTTTCTGTTTTTCAGTCAGTCAATCTTCACAGAACTATTCTTTCTTGTCTCCTTTATTTCTCAGATATTTTATGGATCTGTAAATATTTGCAGTGTATCTTTCGGAAGCCAAAAGAATGCAAGGAGCGTCACAAGATTTTAATGGATAGAAGTGCTGGGGATGGTGCAGATAGTGCTGAAGACTCAGGGTCTTCTCAGTCTTATCCGTCTACACTACCTGGAATTCCAAAGGCATAAATACTTTAATTATTTCATGTTTTGTATTTTTCCTTCACACACACATGTGTATCCTCATTGCTGTCAAAATTTTCATTTTTTATTGGTTATAAAATTTTGTATCTTTAGCAGGGCAGTGCCAGGCAGTTGTTTCAACGTTTGCAAGGACCAATGGAGGAGGATACTCTGAAGTCTCATTTTGACAAAATCATCAAGATTGGGCAGAAGCAACGTTACCACAGGAATCAGGTTTTAATCAAAAGCGTTTATATTAGGTGGATTCTAATATGCAATTGCAATGACATTTAAAAGTGATATTTATTATTTTCAACTGCTTTTATGAACTTAATTGATAAATGGTTGAATTTTAGTTAGTCAACTTCAATCAAGCGAAGCTTGCAATTGTATGAATATAACTTTAAGATGTTTGCATTACAACAAATATTCTTTACAAAAACTATTGGAATGCCACTTTAATTGCAGTAAACCGTAGCCCGCATTAGTTTCAGCCTCAAGGGTTGTGTTTATTTCCACAACCACTTCAAGTATAGATATGACTTAAATAGAGCTTATAAAAGCTTGGACAGTTTTCATTTTACAAGTTGGTTTTGTATGATTGAGTTAGACCTTAGTTTCAAATTGTAAGAACTAATTTTATGATTTTATAAATCTATACTTGCATCAGTTTAAACTTTTAATAATTTGTTTTTTATATTTTTGGTTTAATGCTATCTTCACATTTGACTATTCAAATATTTCCTTCCACCTTTTCCTGCTTTGTTATTTTAAGGAACCTAGAACAGAAAATAGAGAAAAGGAAAGAAAGATTATATTTTTTGATTAATTGTGAAAACAACACAACTTTTTATTTCCTGTTGGGACTCTGTTGATTTTGTATGGTAATATCACTGATATGGGACATATGCTGCTGGTTGGTGTAGTTATTTCTAGAGGATATGTATATATGAGCAGGGGTGGTTATAAGAATAAGAAATTCAAAATATACTATATTGTCCCTTTTTTTTCTTTAGTTTCTATGAAACTAATTTGAAATTATTTTGTTTCAATGTAGAATGATAACCAGGATATGAAACAATTGGTACCTGTCCATAGTTCACACGTGAATGCCCTTAACCAAGTCTGCCCAAACAACTTGAATGGAGGTTTTTTGACGTAAGTTTGATTTAATTTGATTTGATTTTTGTGTGTGGTGGTGGGGGTGAGGGGGTAACATTGAAGTTTCAAAGTTATGAATATTATATCATATTTGCATTACTGTCTATGTTCAGTTGGCCAGAATTAGGCTTTTCTTGTAATTTTCACTTTCTGTCTGTACATTATTATGTTGCACACAACCACACAAGTATTTTAATCATGTTTGAGTTCTGGTGAAGGCCACTCGATCTTTGTGATACAAATCAAGCAAGCCCAGATGTCCTACCCCTTGGGTATCAAGTCTCGCATGCTGGTGGTTTACCATTATCAAATCATAGTTCAGCATCATCGGTGCTTCCATCAGCTGGGCTAAATTCACCAAGTCCAACATCTTCTGGTATTAGTCTTAGTAATAACTTATCATCATCTGGTCCATTGGCAGCCTCTGTCAGGTTAGCACATTATATTACTGGAGATTCTTGAGGTGTAATTATTGAATATACATAACAATATCAGTTATTCAATGCATGGGGACTGCATCTGTTTTCAGGGACAGTAGATACGGAGTTTCACGGACTCCACCTTTATCAGTTGATGAACAGCAGAGAATACAACAATATAATCAGATGATATCTAGCAGAAACATGCAGCAATCTACCATGTCTGTTCCTGGATCTCTTTCAGGAAGTGATCGTGGTGGTGTGCGAATGTTGCCTGGTGGAAATGGTATGGGCATGATGGGTGGTATTAACAGGAGCATTACAATGTCTAGACCAGGGTTTCAAGGAATGCCTTCATCATCTATGCTTAGTTCTGGGGGCATGCTTTCTTCTAGTATGGTGGGGATGCCAAGCCCTGTAAATATGCACTCTGGAGTTGGTGCTGGACAAGGCAATTCAATGCTGAGACCTAGGGAGACTGTGCATATGATGAGGGTGAGAAGTGTTCTTTTCTTCTCTTTGGATTTAATTAGTTCTATCGTAACAATTAACATTGTGGAGTTAAAATTTCTGCTTGTGGCTGTGAAACTTAATATTCATCAAACTCAGCATCCAAGATTTTACAATGTTTCCATTTCCAATAGCTTCTCTTGGATTTGGTTGGGCAATAAGTTTATAGCAAGTTAGTTCTATTTTGATTGATTTTTCCTCTTTGCGTATGTTAACATTTATGGTGATCCTATTTTATTTTGACATATGATTTTTCTTCCCATTTTCTTTAGCCTGGCCATAATCAAGAACACCAAAGACAGATGATGGTTCCGGAACTTCCAATGCAGGTTACACAAGGGAACAGCCAAGGCATTCCT